AATTTCTTTTTTTTCTATCTAGGTTAGCTTTGTTTATATCAGCTGCATCAACTTCCTCGATTTTAATCTCAGACAAGCGCGAAGGCATTTGGGAAAGGAGTCTTGTTCAAGGTAATCGTTAATAATACGTATAATTTTTAAGATGTTTCTCCAAGAAAACAAAAAAAGGATCGTTTAACATTATCACAATTATATATATAAATTTAATTTCACGTTTAAATAATTTAAAAAAAAATATATATACATAATTTTTAAATTTAAAATAGCAAATGTACAGCTTGATAGATCATATCGTAAATTACAAAATTAATTAATATTAAACCTACTGACACTTCATGCATATTTATTCCTACTGTAAACGGTCAAATAACTATATACATATGTATAGAACAAGATTTTAGTCAATTTATAAGCTAATAATATATTTTTTTTAATTTTAGAGATGAATCGAAATTAAATATTATGCATTTTCACTTTTTTTTTATTTACAAATTATAAGTTGCCGTTATTTGGTGACCGCACGTGGTATAGGTTTAGTGTTATTTAGTATACAGTAGGCCCTCGCCTTTCGTACATAATTAGTTCCTGAAAGTGCGTGCGAATGTTGAATATTCGACAGTAGTCAGAAATAGTATTAAATATCAAATATAGGATAAATGGAAGGAGTCTGGTTGTCTAAAACGATGGATATAAACAAAAATTAAGAAGTTGTGAAAGTATTTATTTTGAAACGATTATTAATTTTAATAAACATATTAATATTCTTATTATGTAGCCCTTGCTGGGAGGTTACTGAAAATATTCAAATTAAAAAAAAAAAAGAAAACGAAAGATTTTGAGCTATAGGAGAGATAAACGAAGACATATCGATCGGATAATGAATTTAAATATTTGGGCCGGTTATTTTGAGAGTGGCCTAACTCCATTTTCCAAAAAAATCGAGTTAGCTACCGTAATAGTTATATTTTTACATGATCTTTTCATTTTGAAGCAATTTGTTACTAATATATTTAAAATCATGAATAATGGAATGATGAAAAAGTTTATTTTGAAAGTGGCCTAACTCCATTTATCAATTATTATTTTCCGATTGCAGTGGTTAACTCGTTAGTATTTTGTATGTATATTTTTAATTGCATTGAAACGCAAACTCTTCAATATCTCGATTCGAACTATAAATGAAGTTAGACCACTTTCAAAATAAGCAGCTTATTTAAATTAATATTATATCAAGGTTAATTTATAAGCTCTAAAACGTTCCATGATTTTTTATGCCTGTATCATGTGTATAAGAAAAAATTGTCATCAGCTCTCTATCTAAAAGACAAATAAATGGTCCGAAATAAATTATTAACAGTCAAACAATTTTCGATCAGATAATAATTCTTCCGTTATTTTTGTTTTTGCGGTCTATAACTACTAACTTTCACATATAATCTGCAAATATTTCATGTAGGATGTTTGTAAACAAAATATACTTTCATTTCAGTAGCGTATTACATCAAGAATATATGAGATTTTTAATTGCCATCATATTTTAATAACTATGACCCTACGATGCAACTATTACAAATACTTAAGTTTAAATTAGCAGCAACGGAAAAAAGAAAAACAATAAAATAATCAATTAAATTATTTTATTTACTTCTATAAAGAAATTTTTGAAAAATCGTGTGTAAAATTTTTTTTTTTCGAATGACCGCGATACCAAAGAGATTAATTAAATGATTGCATTCAATAAGGAAAAAAATACACAATTTGTTGGATAATACTCTTTAAACGATAATAATTGTTTTGCTTGACATGCAATACATACTATTAATAGCAAAATTTTTAACAAAGACAATTTTTCACAATAAACTATTACATCGGTACTGAAATTAATTTAATCACTTCACATACAATGACGTCTCGAAGACGTCATTTTTTTCATGTGCTATTGTAGACTTTGACGTCTCCGAGACGTTAAGAACTGTTTTCGGCTGTTTCTTCTTTGATGATAGGCATTTTATTTGTATGACAAGGGGTTAAGATTGAGAGATATATGTCATTCGATAAACGATCATAACATTAGATGAAAAAATGAATTTGTATTTAATTCTTAACGATTTATTGACTGTTTCATTCTATCTCTATCATTAGTTTTTTCTCTTTTCGTAAAGGATGTAAATCTTTTTTCAATTGACAGAATGAAATATTTATTTATTCGATGAATTATTGACATTTTCTAGAATTTAATTCAAGAGAACAGAATTTTGCGTGTTATCAGTCATTAGAATGCCATGAATAATTTAGAAAAAAAAAAGTTATTTTCTATCTAAATTTCAAATTCCTTCGGATAAGTATAATTAATATTTATAATATTATTATTTATTATTTAAAATAACACATAGGAGAACGATATTAATTTAAAGTGTTGTTATTACTACACATTTTATTCATGAAATCATACAAGTGAATAAATTAAATAAAACAAAAAATAACCGAAGTTTAAAAAGTAAAAAATATTTCTGTTTTCGATAATCATCTTCTTGGATTATCTGTTTAACATGTTATGACATGTTTCACGTTAAAGACTATAATTTAGTCGAATAAATAAAATGATATTGGCTAACAAAATAATCCTTATATATATATAGAATATATATTCAGAAATTTTACTCGATCATTTAAAATATCTTGTTTATTTCGTACGATATTAAAATATGCCAAAGGAAAAAAATATTCTGTTCGAAGGTGCCGCTATAATGATGGAGCGAATTTTTTTCTTTAAGGTCATTTTTTTCAAAATTTCAGTCATTGAATTTGTTTTTGAAACGATACTGCATATTTATACTAAAATATTCTTATAACTTATAAAAAAAAAACAAATTTAACAATATGTAATATGTTGATTTTTAAGTGACCTTTATCGTGAAACTTGTGAAATATTTTTCAGTAACTTCGGTATGCATTTAGAAAATGATAAATGAAGTTCAAATGCAAATCAATGTGTAGGACACTCATACATGCAAAAAATCTTTTCATGTGCAAGAGACAACGTTTCCTTATTTGTTTTTTTCGATAAAAGTCACTTTAAATGTCATATTTAAAAGTCAAATTAATTACAATAAAAAAAAAATTGAAATTAATTAATAATTAAAAGTAAAAAAAGATGTTAGTTTTTCGATTAGTTGATATAAAAATTATAATAATGTAAAAATTCAAGAAAAAAGGATCATTTAATAATGATCATCTATATCATTATTATTATTATTCTTTTATTTATATTCTAATATATTTTCTTTTGTTTTTTGTAGGAGTTAAAATACATGAAATATTGATCTCTCAAATCGTGATACAAATTATTATGGTCACAATGCAATGCATAATAATATGTCTCATACATTTCCTTTATTTTGGAATAGACAGTAGTAGTTCCATTTTTGCAATCACGACACTAGTATTAATCACGGGTATATGTGGAATGACTTACGGTACGTTACATGCTCCAAATTTATTCCATTAAGTAAAATAAACGAAGTATAAAAGAAAAAAGAAATTTAAATAAAAAAAAAATAATTTTGTTTGATCAACAGGTTTTTTGATTTCGTCATTTTGCAATTCGCACACATTGGCGGATTTCTTAATCACTGGAAGTTTCTACCCTGTGATAATTCTTAGTGGTGAGTATGAATAAATAATAATAATAATAATCATAAAAATAATAATAAAAACCAAACAAAAACGTTGATTTTAATTAAATTTTTCGCGCGTAGAAAGGAATAATTTATTTGTCAAACAAATATTTTATTGTAAATCATAATATTTTTCTTCATTTGTTTACTTTTTTACATGAGGATGATTTAAAAAAAAAAAAAAAAACCAAAAAAGGATAAAAATTAAATGACAGATTCTAATTTCTAATATTTTCTATTCGTTTTTATCTTTCAGGATTTCTTTGGCCAATCGAAGGAATGCCAATTGTAATTAGATGGATAAGTTATTTTTTGCCAACGACAATACCAGGAATATCATTGAGAGCAATTATGATCAAAGGCCTTTCCATTAGCAATTCTGAGGTTTATATCGGTTACCTCATTGTAAGTTGTTGGACAGTTGTATTTTTTTTCGTATGCCTTTATGGTCTCAAAAGGAAATCATAGGTAAGAGAAGAAATGAAAAAAAAATTAAAATAAAGAAAATAATAATAGTAATAGGTATTAATCATAATAATAAAAGTATAATGACGACAATCTCGTGTCAACGTGCCTTAGTTTTTAAACGATTAGTATTATTTCTTAAATATCGTCGTTAATGTTTTCCAACGTTATTTTATTTCAAATAAATTTGTTCTTTTTTTTTTGTCTTTTTTTCTTTCCTTATGTTAATTTTTATCTCTACAATCAACTCTTAATTTTATTATCTATTCATTTACTTGAATTTTATAATTGTATAATTCAAATAATGTTTCTCTATGTGTAACTAAATGTGAGAATATTCGTTAATTAATATGAATAACATTTACCAAAATCAAAATAATTATAGGAAAAATATTGTGAAATATTTTATTTAGAACTATTTTAAAATGTTTAGTTTTTAATCGATAAATAGAATCTCTCTCCATTATAAAATCTATTTTAAAACTATCATAGAAACGTGATACGACTGTAAATTGTTTAATCTTTTCTCTATAGCGGAACTAGCCACCAAGAAATTTCTGTTCAACGGTACTTTGTATCATAAAAGTACAATTCACGCTGAACAGACTATGATTTCTAGTGTTTCAAGTGTTGGATAAAACCAAAAAAAAAAATTAGACGATATAAAATAATACGTCATTAACGCAACAAGTTAATGTATATTAGTATAATGTATGTTTTTTATGTTTATACGTCGAATCAATCAACTGTAGATACGAATATTAAAGTAGGGAAAAGATTAAAAAAAAATTAAAAAAGAAAAAAAAGGAAAAAAAACCCAAAGGAAAGCATTTAAGGTAGTACCCCCCTGTGTCGGTTAAAAAAAATCGAATTTTTTTTTTATATATTTCGTAAGAAAAACATTTCAAAAATATGCTTCGAAAATTTCAGACCGATATTTAAAGTATTCTCAAAGTTATAACCGAAAGTATGGAGCGCGCCGTAGTGTGTATAACTCAGAACGCCTCTATTTTGTTGCCTCTATTTACTCTCTGTTAGGTATTGTGTCATTGATAGGCAAATTTTTAAATAAAATAATTGATGTGATAGTAAAATCAAGCATATGTAAAGCATGTCAGTATTTAGCAACAAAAAACCCCATCGAAGCTGAGAGTTTATCTGAAGATCACAAAAATGAATGCACAGCAAATCACGAGGGTAGCAGTGGCAAAATGGAGGTCGACAGTGTTTCTGAAATGTTCAAGCGTTCTGAGGAGCATTATGGTTTGAAATACATGAAATACATTGGTCAAACAGCCAGAAACTACGTCGACACCGTTGATAATGCTCGTATTTTGAGAGCGAAGAAAACTACAGAAGCTAACTCTAAA